CTGGCCTAGTGTCAAGAACTTTCCGTGTGTAAACAAAGGATGACTGGATACCAGCCTCTGGAATTATTTCAGAATTAACGACTATAAGGCATAAACTTAAAAGGGGCAGGAGATGGAAGGAAAAAAACTTTTTAACCAGAGGGTGGTGGGAATCTGGAACTCACTGTGTGTAAGGGTGACAGAGGCAGAAACCCTCATAACATTTAAGTATTTAGATGTGCACTTGCAATACCAAGGCGTTATAAGGCTATGGGCTTAGTACAGGAAAATGGAATAAGAATAGTTAGGTGGTTGTTTGTTTCTGTGCCAGTTGAAATGTGCAGAAGGGCCTTTTTCTGTGCTACAGATCTATCACTCCATTAGATTATTTATGATTTTACCAAGCCCAGCATATGGATGAAATTTCCTCCAAGATGATGTTGCACAGAGAGAGTTCTTACTCTGGATCTTATCTCTGCTACACTGGAGTTTTGATTGCTTGTCATTCCTTAATCTCCCTGTATAGCTTAATGTTTTCTTAAGCAAAAGAAAATTCGGGATGAATTAAAAAGGTCATCGTCAACTGCTTTGACTTTTATTTTTAAAACCAGTTTTTTTTATATCCAGAAACTAATTTAATTAATCCATTAAATCAAATGCACATTAATTTTCTTGCATTCCAACTAAAATCCCTGCTGTTGCTGTCCTAAGGAAACAATGTGGAATCTTCCCAGCCTCTGAACAACTTGGGCATTAGCAAGTAAGTTAAGAATTATGTGAGACTGGCAATGAGGTGTTTCCTGCAACTGAAAGCCAAAGAGCCCCATTATCCAAGCAGACAAGGCAAGAATTTCAATTTATAACGATGGGTTGGATTATTTCTGGTTGTTAAATTTGCTAGTGACAAAAAGCAGTTAGGAGTGCAGGTTGTGAAAAGAACATAAGGGCTTTACAATGAAATTCAGATAACTGTGTTGGCAAAGATCTGGCAAATGGATTATAATGTGGGAAAATGTGAAATTGTCCAATTTGGCCTGAAGGAAAAAAAAGCATGTTATCTAAATGGTGGCAGGTTGTAGAACCTCTAGATTCTGAAGGATCTAGCTGTCCTTTTGTATGAGTTGCAATAGGTCAGTATGCAGGTACAGCGAGTAATAAAGAAAGTTAACAGAATATCATTTATTACAAGATGAATTGGATAAAAACATAGGATAGGTATATTTACATTAGAGGGTATTACTAAGAACACATCTAGAGTACAGTGTATATATAGTATTGGTGTCCTTATTTTGAAGAATGAAAATGCATTGGAAGTAATTCAGAGAAGGTTTACTTGGCTAATAACTGGAATGGACAGAAAATTTTGAGGAAGGGTTGCTCAGACTAGGCTTGTTATCCACTGGAGTTTAGAAGAGAAAGGAGAAAATTAATTGAAACGTACAAGATCATCAACAAGGTATTTGGGGAGAGTGTGTTTCCACTTGTGAAAGAATCTAGATAAGGGTCACTGTTTAAAAATAAGGGGTTGCCCATTTAAGTCAGATGAGATTTTTGTTTCCTCAGAGGGTTTTAAATCTTTGCAATGCTCTTCCTCAAAAGTAAGTATCTTTGAAACTTTTAAAGGCAGAGATAGATAAATACTTGATCAGCAAGGAAGTGAATGGTTATCGGGGATAGGCAGGAAATATGAATTAATTAAAAAGCAGCCATGATCTTGCTGAATGATGGAGCAAACTCAAAGTGCCAAGTGGCCTATTTCTCCCAATTCATATGTTCATTTCTTTCAACCACAGTCTACAAAATTATATTTTTCCATGACTACTCACTGACTTGGGACACCTCCCTACCTGCACCAAAAGTAACTTTCATCTCCCATAATAACTGCCTCTCTCTCTCATTCCAGGTTGAAAACAACACATTAGAGGATACTGACAGCCCGGAGCAGGACCTAGATTGGTCTCGGATGATTCCCATTGCATACTATGCTGGGATCCTCTGAATGAAGGTTACCCCCTTGACAAGACTGAGACCTTGTGACAAGTCTGTCAAGCTTCCTGGCTTTGTCTGTGCTAAATGGCAAGGCAGCTGTAATATGAACCTGGTATCTGGCTAACAGGGTGAAGCACAAAAAGGCGATGCAAGGCAGGGATGCTATGACCATCCAAGTAGGATCAGAGTGATGCAGTCTGGTCCAGTCCACGAGCTGAGTGTGTATTCCTGAGGGTACAGTGTCCTTGATTCAACATTATAATGATCGTTGCCAATGCAGTCCACAAAACAGTACTAAAGTGCAGAAGTGATCTGTAAATGAATTGTACGTATGCTATGAGGGTTCTTACAGTATAGTACGTGTCAGATGCCAATGTTCATGGATGCGGGGTGCACGTGGTTGGTGCCTACGAAGTGTGTCCTGAAATGTTAATGCCTGGTTTTCAACATTGAGATTGTTAAGAGCAAGCATTGAGCCAAACCTGCCAGGTTCTTTCTCTGGTCTCCTTTGCCAAGTTTTCCCAACATCAAGTTTGTTTAGTAAGTTTGCCAAGATGGGAGTCTGAATATTAATGAAGTGAGTTGAGGCATTTACATGGCATTTCACAAATCAGTATGAGTATTAATTGACATCTCATCCACTGCCTAGGTGAATCTCCATGCCTCTTGTGAAAAGAATAAAAACCTGAAGTGAGATGATCTCACTTTCAAGATGGGCTTCACTGTACTTGTGGCCTAATTCTGCCACACATCTCACCATAACCCACATGGTCCAGACCTCAATAAGATTCCACCGTTAGTGATGTTGGATGAAGGACAAAATTAACGATGACACCAGGAAGAGCTCCTCTGCCCTGCTTCGAAATTGATTTAAAATATTCTGTGACTATCTGCGAGGCCATTCCATTTGTTGGTCAACTCTCATGTGAAGACAATCCTAAATTTATCACTAATTAACTTGACATTGTGGCCCTCAGTTTTCCAGATTTTTCTTTTCCACTTTCGCTGCATCATCTACACCTCTACAGAAATCTAGGCTGCTATTCTAGTATTAAAAATTTGCTGCCATTGTCAGAACCACACTCTTTTGGATGAGACCTTAAACTGAAGTCCACTTTACCTTTCAGTGCACATAGAAAAATCAGTAGGCAATTTTTTGAAGAAGAGGAGCAGGAGATATCTCTGCGGTGTCCCAGCCAACAATCCCTCAACCATCATCATTAAATAAAACAGATTATCATTATAGTCATTACTACACTGCTGTTTTATGGATCCTCACTGTGTTTAAATTGGCTATCACATTAACTATTTTCTTTCTAGATTAGATAGTTCAAAATGCCTTTTCTCAGGGCTGTAAAACATAAATTCCTCCTGGAAAAAATATGACTTCACAGCTCAAATTTAAAAGACTATCAGTCAGTCTCATGCCCCTTCTACGACCTCCAGTTCTTGAATATTTCCCACATGTCTTGATGACCAGACTAAACACTCTTCAAGATATAATTTGACCTAAGCACAGAAAAGTTTGTTTGTGATTGAATTCTACTGACATACATTGTACTTCCATATATGCATGCAGAATATTGCCAATAGACTGGTGTCATCAGCAGTGATTTGACATTTGTGAAGACAGAAACTACCTAATTGGTTTCTCTGTGCATTGATTCTAAAGCATAAAGTACAGAGGTAGCAGGCTAAGTATACAGAGATCTCCTGCTGTAATGTTGAGTAATGGTATTGATATTTACATTCACTTCTTTAAATCAGTTTGGGTTTAAAGATTTCAGGTCCCCCTATTTGTCTTTATATTGAGGATAATTTTTCCAACTTGCCTACAGAAAGCCTCATTAGATGGTAGCACTTGTTAGAAATTTGGGATGTGTGTGATGTTACAGTTAATATGGATGGGAACCAATCTGTGCTGTGCAACTGAATCCTATGATCCTGGTTAAGAAGATGCCCCACTAGCAGTGCAAAAAACAAATCAGACAGTTGTCCCTGTTATATTTGTTGAAGTTTAAACTTAAGATAGCAGTTAGAATGGAGGTCAAGTTTTTTTTTAAATATTAAAGACGAGAAGAGCTATAATTGTGGCTCAGCAGAGGAAATACAAACTGGGAATGTTATAATGCACCCTGTCTGTTGAGTAGTCCTGTTACTCAAACTTATGGAAATGAGAGAAGGGATCTGCTTCCACCTCATTTAGTACATTCTTCAGGTCACATGCCCAGGGCATACAGTTAACAAATTGTGATTATCAAAGTGGGGACTCAGCAAACACTGTGATACCCCCTTTAGAGGTCACCCACTGTTACAATGCGCATTCTCTGTTATTCACCTACCACGCAGGAAGGAGCTAACCAAAGTGACCTGCTGAAATTGAGTGCACGTTTATTTAGCTAGCATATGCAATCTATATTATCACACAATCACTATTTCCTACCCCTGGATTTGATGCTGCACTTAATGAAAACCTGGGGGAAATCAGTGAGTGCATGAAGTATGCAATGACCTGCTCCGAAAATGATCAATCTTTTCATAATGGATGTTGACAGGAAGGAAGTATTTAACTGGTTGAGTTCAGCTCTGCCCAGTGACCTCTTCCCTTAGATTCTCTTGTTTTATTGCTTTAATTTCCTCTTTCCGATTGCTATCCAGTGATTCCCTGCTGATAAGTGAGCATCTGTGGATGTTGGGAATGGACAGGAAAGTGATTTTTCCCAAGTTGGTAATCCTGCCTTCTCTCCCTAATGGCAGATAGTCAAATACAATCAGTGCCATTCCTACTCCCTGCCACTCATTTCAAACTGTGTGGTAGGTCAATAACAGACAATGCGCATTGTAATAGTGGGTAACCACTAGAAGGGGGGTATCACTGTGTTTGCTGAATGCCCACTTGGATAATCATAGATGTGTTAAGTGTACACTCTGGGCATGTGCCCTAAAGAATATATAAAGAAGGTAGAAGTTTGAGTAACAGGACTACTCAACAGGCAGGGTGCATTATAACATTTCCAGTTTGTGGCTCAGCAGAGGAAATACAGTTACATTTCTTCACATCTCCAGTTTATAGTAAACTTGACCTCCATTCTCACTGGTATCTTAAGTTCAGCTGATCTGCTGTGTAGAATCAGCCGATATTTCAGTTCAGCAGAATTTGTCCCTCACTGGAGCTGGTAAGAGAGGTGACAAGAAGGCAAAATAATTGGTCAAGTTGGCTCTGGAGTGATATTTATCCCTCTCATCACTTAAGTGCTGAGAGAGCGAAGATCCATTGGGGAGTTTCTTGATTTGCCAGCAATTAAGGACCTTAAGTAGTCAATTAGTAGCCACTTAAGGGCCTCAACTCACCATTGCATCAAATTATCTGCCTTCCGGCAAGAAGGAAAAGCAGCTGATTTCCTGAGTGGGAAAACAGTGTGATCTGTCAGCCAGGTTTTAGGGGGAGCTCCATTTGTCCCATTTTGAATTCAATCAGAGACATAGATGGGGATAAGGGATGTACCATGAAAGCCATTTCCTGTCCTTGCATCTGACCCTGTCCCAATTTGTACTCTGCAAAAAGCAAAAAAAAACTACTTACCATCTTGACATGGATCCCAAGAGTACTAGGCTTTGACTGAAGATATTTAGTACCCAGAATCTGTTGGCCCCTGATATTGTGAGGTGGGATTCCACTTTCTAAATTTGCTGTAGAGAAGAAGCTCAGCCACCAGCTGTTTGGAACACAGTCTAGTCAGTTTTCACAGTAATGGGGGTGGCAAGTCAGTCGCCACTGAACGCTCATGCCCCACACTTGTGTTATTGATGGCACTTCCATGCATCTGTCTCTCTGCTCCTTCTAGATGGTGACATTCACAACTTTACAAAGCGTAGCAGAAGGCAGCTTGCTGCAGTGCATCATGTAGATGGTACACACTGTTGCTACTGTTGGAAAGAGGGATTGCTTAAGGTGATGCCTTGGGTGTTCATTTAAGTAAGCTGCTTTATCCTGGATGGTTTTGAGTTCTTCAGTGTTATTATATCTGTACACATCAAGATAAGTGGGGAGTGCTCTAAATCACTCCTATCTTGTGCCTTGTAGAGTGAATAGGTGCTGGGGACTCAAAAGGTGAGTTGCCTCTGGATGTGATCTTGTAATTATATGGCTGATCAGTTCAGTTTCTGACCAGTGGTAACCCCTGAGATACTAATAGTGTGGGGGTTCAGCAATGGTTATTATTCAATGTCAAGATCATAGTTATAGAGCATCTAAAAGGGCGAAATTGGTGGTGTAGTCCAGTTTACACTACTGAAATGGACTAGTACCCTGGATGTGCAGATTTATACTGTGGGCCATGGTTCAAATCCACCATCGTAGTTAGTGTAATTTAAAATTCCATTAATTTTTTCAAAACTCTAGAAGTGTAAGCTAGCCTCAGTAGTGGAAACTATTATACTGATTGTCTTTTTTTTGAAAAAAAAACGCATTTTATTCCCATTCTGTCCTTTAGGGAAGGAAATCTGCCGTCTTTGTCGGGTCTGGCCTACATGTAACTCCAGATCCACCGCACTGTGGTTGATTCGTAACTGCTCGTATGGATATTTAGGGAGGGCAACAAATGCTGGTTTTAATTAATAGCGGGAGCCAAGTCCCGTGAATAAATATAAATACCCATTATACATGCTGTACACTGCGTCACACAACAGTTCCCAGAGATACATGTTGTAAGTTAATAATGCTGATTGCAAATAGAGGTATATTAGATACGAAATCCGTGTACTTTAAACCATCGATCCAAACTCAACAGGTCAGTGTGGAAAGCGGAAGTATACTGGTTGTTATAGAAAGCCGAAACTCACTCACCCCGAGTTGCTGAGGCATGTCGACTGGAGTCAGATGAGAACTCACATGATACCGATTTGACCCGAAGAGATAGGAATTGACCATTTCGCACGCACGACTGCTGGTGGGTAGTATATAGTTTTGTTTTACTTTGTGGTGTTCAGTGAACGGTGCTGTGTTAGTTGCTCGTTGCCTCGCGAGTTGGGATCTGTCCCGTTGACAATTATTTCTGGGTCATCGGGATCAGGGCTGTGTTGTAGCTTCCTATCCACTTCAGTCCAATTTCGGATTGCTGTGTTAGTTGTAGACTAATTTGTGAATTAATGGAGAATGTTATACAGCCAAGATCTTCGCTCAGGAGTCAATTATTGCAACAAAAACTGTTTACAATTGTTGTAAAACCTAGCTTTCCAATCTGTTTCAAAGTTTTGTTTACTTTTCTTTGGCCCTAAGCGTTTTTAACGGAAATTCTTTCTTCCCTGCTGTTAAGTCTCGCTTCCCTGCGTTCCGTTCAGGGACAGGCCAGAGTGCGAAGGTTTAAAATCAACAGAAGGAGGAAGAATTAAAGTTCAAATAGGACTTTGTCATGTCTTCATATCTACATGTAAGGCCCATCACAATTCAATTGCCACACACGTACGTTCCTTTCTTATAAGAAAACCAATAGGGTTCCCGTCGTGTCCGTACTTCTGGCCTGGAAGTCCCGGGTTCACGTCTCACCTGCTCGACCACAGGAACATGCATGACAATTGAAAATGCATCCATTGATCTAAAACCGTCTCCACGAGCAATTAGCCAACAGTGGAGAGGCGATGGACTAAGTGGTGATCCTCGCTAATTGTTGAAAAACAAAACCCATCTGAAGGGTCCAGACCTGAAACGTCAGCTTTCTTGTTCCTCTGATGCTGGCTGGCCTGCTGTGTTCCTCCAGCTCCACACTTTGTTGTCACCATCTGGTTCACTAATGTCCCTTGGGGAAGGAAACTGCCAACCTTTCATCTGACTCCAGATCCACAGCAATGTGGTTGGCTCTTAATTGTCCTTTTATGGTGGTCAATACATGCTAGTCTGGCACCTCCTGAATGTAAAAGAAGTTGACCACAGGATATGTGCCTTACTGTCCTAAATTTTGACCTAAAATGTAGCACCTAAGGTGTACACTTTTTCTGTATAACATATCCCTGTCTGTGTAAAAGTTCATATCCTCCTAATTTCACTTGTCTAATGATGAGGCAGAGCTAAACTATATACTTTGCAATTTAGAATAATGAGAGGTGTTGAAACGTTGAAGATTGTGGGATAGATGCTGCCCCCAGCTGGGGAATCCAGATCAAGGGATGCAGTTTTAAGTTAATCATTTAGGACTGAAGCAAAATCTCTTCAGTCAGAGGATTGTGAATCTTATGATGTTCTGTACCTCCGTGTTGTGGATTGACTGAGATTGATATGAAGAGAGGGTGGAAATGTGAAATCAGCCCCAATCATATGGAGCAGATGCATCCTATGGACTACTCTTGCTTCTGTTCATAGAATCCCGACAGTGCGGAAAGAGGCCATTTGGCCCATCAAGTTTGCACCAACCCTCTGAAGAGCATTCCACCTAGACCCAGACCCCACACTATCCCCATAAGCCTGCACTTACAATGTCTCACCACCTAGCCTGCACAGTATGGGGCAATTTAGCAGGCCAATCCACCTAACCTGCACATCTTTGGACTCTGGGAGGAAACCAGAGCACCCGGCAAAAACCCTTGCAAAAACTCCACACAGTCACCCGTGGTTAAAATTGAATCCAGGTTCTTGGCACTCCGGGACAGCAGTGCTAACCACTGAGTCACTGTTCCCACCCCTGTTAAGAGTTCTTAAGGTGCAGTGATAGTGTCCCTACTTCTGGCCAGGAGGCCTGGGTTCAAGTCCCACCTGCTTCAAAGATAGTCATCACATCTCTGAATGGGTTGATTAGAAAATATTCTATTTCTGCTGTTAAAGGTTCTTATGGTGCAGTGGTAGTGTCCCTACTTTAGAACCAGGAGGCTTGAGTTCAAGTTCTACCTCCTCTGAGCAGGTTGATTTACAAAAGAAATCTCTTTCTGCTGTCCTAGTGTTAACTTTATCTCCCCCCAAATAACTCCTTGAATACTTAATGGTGTGGCTGTGGCCCTAACATTATTTGAAAGTATCTTGCAGGTACTGTCCAGGAATTTTGTTTGCTTTGACCTTTATAGGTACAGTTTGTATTATGTTGTTTAGGTATTTGGTTTGGGAGGGAAAGTGAACAGAATGGGTGAGAGTGTAAACATAATCTAAGCAGATCGAAGGCAATGATGGTGTAAGATGTGAATCAAAGTCACTAGTTTTACATAATTAGCCCCGCCCCATTACCAGTGAGAGGAGGAAATAATAATTGGTATTGACATTTTCGATTTTTAAAATTAATTGGAACTAAGGGTCTTGGTGTTGTGCTACCTGTTTACACACTAAGACCTTCAAAATTTCATCATTTATTTCTTTCAATTACTACCATAAAGAAGCAGATAATGAAGACTCATTCTGGTCATATTTTCCCAGATGGCTGTATTTTTGCTGAAATCAGAAGCCAAATTCAGATTTCAATTGAGCAGTAGGAGTGATTGGTGAGGAAAGGTGGGAAAGTGACTGAATTTTGGCTGTTTCAATTATTCATCCATGGGACATGGGTGCAGCAAGTTCTGGAGCACACTCTTCAGTACCATGCTGGAATGTGACAGAACCCATAGCCTTTGCAGTATCCAGTGCCTCCAATTATTTCTTAATATCATGCAGAAGGAATCCAGTTGTCTGAAGACTGGAATCTGTGATGCTGGGAGCCTCTGGAGAGTCAAAATGTTTGCTATTTGAATGCATATAATTTATACATCTTCAGAATTTAATGAGAATCATCAGCCTTACTTTGTACTTCTTTTTGCTCTTGTAGATTTTGTTTTCACTTTTGAATTTTAAATCATACTAATAGCTCATCCCAAGTTCCTTTCTTTTGAATGTGTTGTAAGTTTCTTTGTCGTCCAGGTAATATTTCAGCTTTGTACCCAGCATAGTGAATAGAAGAGTCTTTCAGTTACTTGTTTTTTAATTATTGGAATTATAGTACAATTTCAGGATCTTTTCCTGTCATCATGGAGTAATAGTATTTTACAATTTAAATTATTGTGAATATTTTCATAGAGCCCTAGCTATTTTGTTGCTGTTCTGAGTGCTGTTTTTATTGAACCTGCTTAATTTTCAAACAAGACTGCCCAAAACCATGATGCCTCATCAATTATCTTCATCAGGATCAAATGGCATATTTTAACTTGTGATAAAATCCTCAAGATGCATTTTGGTGAATAATTGGAACTGTTAATGACATGTCCCTAATGACTACATAATTTATGTAGTCAATAATTGTCACTTTATCATTTTCCTTTCTTGTTAATCAATGGAAAACACATCCATCTTTCTATGCTTTATGGAACAGGTTGGTTTCCTGAAGAACATTATGCAGGCCCGAAAGTTGCTGTTGATCTCCTGCATGCAGGTCCTCTTCCTCTCTGTCAGTAAGTATAATTGTTAGAGTCAACTTCACGGTCAGCCCCTGGATTCCATCTTGTGTAGCAATCCTTGTCTGTTTTACTCAGTAGACTTGACAGTGTCAATTACATTTGAGGGAGATATTCAAGAAAGTTGCAATAATTTGTAGCTTTTTCTGTTTCGTGACTCTGGTAGGGCTAATATTTAAGAGGTACTGTGATCAATGTTGGGTTTCGCAGCTAAGAGGTGCAAATTCTCACCATCAATATTCAGTATTCTTTTTACAAAAGGATCTAATTCCTTACATGGTCCCCAGATCTATCTTGCTGATCAGGCACTGATTCCATTGACATCTCAATCTAATCCGTTTGGGGAGTTGTATTTTTCAAAACTGAGCAGCAGACTTTTAGTTTTCTTACACCTGCTTTAAAACACATATTGTTGCACTTCCCTTTTATTAAAAGTCAATGTTAATATTGCAACACTTGCAATCTAAAAAGAGTTATTGCACCTCTTAAAATATTTCTACAATTATTCTCTCAATCTAACATTAAGACTGTAGAAGAGCACGGCAGCAATGACAGGATGAAGGAACATTTCCCTGCCTGTTTTCACACTCCTGTTTTGAAAGCTGCTGTGTTGCTCAGTTCACAGAAGAATTTTGCTTGCACCAATATTCTCCCGTCATGTACTGACTTGATCCAATACAGACCCATGGATTTCTCCAGCTCTCCAGTTTCTCAGTTTTCTAGATACAAAATCCTGAAGAGTACCATTGGGCAATTTAACAGTAGGGGACTGTGCAGCTGATGATCTACTCATTCAATGTTCACAATGAGCATTTTTTTCCTTTCTGCTTACTTTTCCTCTTTTGTGTCTCTTACTTGCCCTCACCCCACCTCCCTGAGAAAGAGGGGCGTTAGGAATGTGATGGAAGGTAAAGTTGAGATTAGAAATGAAAAGTTTATTAAAGAGAATAATTTTATTTGAATTTTCTAAACGTTCTTATATTCTTGCTGATCTCATGAATATTAATTGCCACTCTTTGAAAATATCTGTTCCAAGTGTCTCTGCAACAGCAGCTCTATGATATCACACCGTAATTACCAGAAGCAAAAGGAATTGATAGCGTTCCCTTTTAAGGGAATAACAATGAACTGATAGGATGGTATGCTCACATGGGGGAGGGGAAAGGTTTCTATTATGCTAACAGCCTTGACCAAAAGCAATTATGAATTTGTTTTCTGCTGAGCTTGGCATATCATATCTCTAGACCAGAAAAGCAAACTACAAAAAAGCGCCTGAGTGTAACAGAATTTTTGGGAACTCTTCAACACATTGTATTCGATTAGTTAAAAAATGAGAACTATGCATGTGTTTAACTGGAAGATTGCACATCAGATACTTTGAGTGTGTAGTTGAAATGATTAAATCAAAGTACTGTAGAGGCTGGAGATCCTATATGTATCTCTGAACTGTTCTTACCTTCTGTAATCCACTTTTCCAATTTCATTGTCTGTCTGTCTGTTGAACAGTTCAGGTAGTTTTACAATAGTAAAGGTACTATAAAGTTATAGAGCCATAGAGTTGTACAGCACGGAAACAGACCCTTTGATCCAACTCGTCCATGCTGACCAGATATGGCTCATATCTTTCTAACCCCTTCCTATTCACGAAACCATCCAGATGCCTTTTAAATGTTGTAATTGTACCTTCTCCACCACTTCTGGCAGCTCATTCCATACATGCACCACCATCTGCGTGAAAATGTTGCCCCGAGGTCCGTTTTAAATCTTTCCCCTCTCTCCTTAAACCTATGCCCTCTAGGTTTGGACTCCCCTACCCTAGTTTTGGACTCACCTACCCTGGGGAAAACACCTTGTCTATTCACCCTGTCCATTCCCCTCATGATTTTATAAACTATAAGGTCACCTCTCAGCCTTCGACACTCCAGGGAAAATAGCCCCAGCCTATTCAGCCTCTTCCCTCTAGCTCAAACCCTCCAACCCTTGCAACATTCTTGTAAATCTTTTCTGAACCCATTCAAGTTTCGTAACATCTTATAGCAGGGAGACCAGAATTGAACACAATATTCCAAAAGGATGGTGGTGAATGTGAAGAAGGATATACAAGACCTGGGGTCAGAGGAATGGAGAGTTCAAACATTGGAGGTTGTCATTGAGGCAGTGCATAGAAGTTCACCAATGATAGTTGGGTTGTCCTGACAGAAGAGAGCGAGGAATCTGGCGTATGTTCCTACAGTTTTGAAGAATTAGAAGTGATTTTATTGAGAAGTACAAAATTCTTTTAGGGTGGATGTAGGTGAGATGTTTTCCTTAGCTGATGAGCCTAAAAGCCAGGGACACATTTCCAGGAAACGAAGTAGGCCATTTAAGAGTGAAATGAGGAGGAATTTCTCACATTGAGGTGGTCTAATAGTGTGGGCTAGGTTGGGAGTTGGGTTGGATACCTTGAAGAGTGAAGGAGATTGCACAAAGTCTGGATGGAAAGCCTGCCTGGGACTCCAGTACAGCGTTCAAAATTTAAAAGTAAAGGTTAAACCAAAAAACATGCTTCCTGCATTTACCCCTCACTCTCCACGCCCCTTCCATGCCAGCCTACGACTCACTAACTAATGTAACTATCTCCCGTGGTCCCTCGTATCCCATGTTTCACAATCGTCCTCTGGCCCTTTGTGAATGTATGCCCACTTCTACAATCCAACCATCTCCCTTTGCCCTTCTCAGCTCACATAATTATTCAGCATAGCCCTAATACAAGAGACATAAAATATTGTTATCAGACTATTAATGATGTCACTATTGGGGGAAAAAAAAGCAGACACATTGAAACCAAGTAATTCTAATACATTAAAATTGCTCCAACAAATATTTCCATTCGAGAAAAATTTGGAGCTGTCCATGAATAGCAACACATTATTAAAATTATAATTTAGGAAATCATTAATGCAGCAGAAATCCTATTGTGGTTTTATGTGAACAGCTGTGGCCCCAGCACTAATTCTATGGTACACAACATGGAGGAGTTATTCTGGGACAACTTTTTGAATTTTTGTTCTTTGTTTTGAAACAGAAGTACAATTGGAATTGATTTGAAATGTTTGTACCACTCTTCGCTGATGTTACTGGGGTGAAACCGGTTCTCCTGAAAGGGCACATGATTCTCAAGTTGGGTAGGCAGTGGGATAGAGATGAGGATATAAGCAATGACATGAAGTTATTCACACAGCTGCTCAGAAAATGTCACGATTTCTCAAGCCATTGTTATTACCACTATTTTGTGTAATTCAATTTATAGTACAACACATCTGACTCAAACAAGCAGCGTTTTATGATCAACTTGAATGTCCTCCTCCCAATGTTCCCTTCTTCATTGTCTAACCTCATTCTTTATGTATGTATATTCATCTCAACTATTCCCTTTTGTAGTGAGTTCCTCATGCTGAATAAATTTTGAATTTCCTATTTGATGTCTCTGTCAATTTCATATTGATAGCCTTCAGTTCTACTGTTTATCAAAAGAGCAAACATTCTGACTGTAAACATTCTATCAAAATCTTTCATGATTTTATAAACCTCTATCAGGTCACTCCTCAGCATTCTCTTTTCAAGTGAGAAGAAAGCCAGTCTGTTCATCTCCTTATTGTAATACCTTACCATGAACACGGATTCCAAACTTTTGCTTCTGATACCCCTTTTGTGTTGTTAAAAAATTGACTTCACCTTCCCAATAATGCATAATATATTTTCTATACAAATTAATTAAACCAATGAATGTTTATTTGTTTTACTAAGTGTGAAACTTGTTATAATGGTGCTGAGCCACAATTCTTTCCTTATTCAACACTTAAATAGGCAAGTAAATAAGGTGTTTTAGCTTTGTAATTATTGTCATTGTGAAAAGGCCATTGGGCTAGACTTTTTTGACGCTAAATCAGTTTTGTTAGACTTGTAAGTGGCCCCCACAGAATTCACCAGACAGGCTGCAGGACGTTTCTAATACATCATGACTTGGAAACTTCTGAGCTTGCAGCAGGGCAGATAAATTTCCTGAGAAATTTGACCTAGCTTTCATTGTAAAATTATAAATAACATATCCTAGAAAGACTTGTATGCTTCTGAACCCATGCAAATCTTGACGTAAGAAGGAGATGTAATTTATAATTTCTAAACTCTTTAAAAGAAATGAGTATTTAACAAATCCTTTTGGAAATTTTGATCAGTTTTAATTGTTAAGTGATTTGTGGCTAACAGTCTCAAAGGCTGATGCAGAAGGGCCAGATAGGGTAAAAGAAGTGGCAGTCAACTTTGCAACAGCAACATTAACGTAACTTCTGAAAGAAATATTTCACTATTTGTTATGATCCCAGTAGAGACCCATGTGTTTACTGTTTTTGGAAATCTTTAAACTCTGGTTTTTACCAAAGGAATGAAGCTGCACAGTTGATTATTCAACGTAAAATAATTTTGCTACCCTCAATCAAAACGTGATTACGAATAACTACACTTTATTTCCAGTTGCCCTCGCCAAAAATTGAAGCATAAGTTACTTGCTTAAATGCTGTTTCAAATATGAGCCTTAGACTTCTTGGCCCTTCTGCTTACTTGCCTTCTTAAATCTCTTATAACCATGCTTCAGTAATAGTCTAGAATCTTAGGCGTAGCCATCTCAGGTCAGAGCTCTACTAGCCCTAATGGGCTTTAACTCCGGGATCTTGAGCCTAAGAACTTCTCATTTTGGCTACCTCAAGAAGTCTAACTCAATGTTTGCAGAGTTTTCAAATTATCAAGGTTTTAACTCCTATTGGCCATAACATAGAATTCTTACTGAATTCAGCGTGAGCAAAATGTTCCCTGTTTGTTTTAAGTTAGAAGTGGTTGAAAACAACCACATACACAAATCTACATCTCTTGTAATAAGTAATATGAAAATAGGGTAGGCAAGAATACCTACCCCAAACAGCTTCATTATTGGAAGCATGTCCCAAAACATCTTCCTGTGAAAT